TGATTTTTTGATGTATTGTAGAGATGAGGTCTCGCTGCCCAGGCGCGTCTTGAACCCGCAGCCTCAAGCAATCCACTCACCTCAGCCTCCCAAAGGCGGGGGATTACAGACTGAGCCACTGAGCCTGGCTTTTTTTTTTTAATGGAGAGTCAAGGTGTCTCTATGTTGTCCAGGCTGGTCTTGAATTCCTGGGCTCAAGCAATCCTCCCACACCTTTAATCTGGTTAAGGAAGTGCTCTCGGCTCCTTCACTCTGTGTGTGAACCGTGAATGGGTGTCACATTTTGTCAAATGCTTTTTTCTGCATCGACTGAGCTCCTGGGCCTGGGCAGCTACTGTTCTGGGCTTGGTGCAAGCTGGCGGGCTGAGGAGCGAGCTCAGCTGTCCCAGGGGAGGTGTCCAGGGTCAGAGCCAGCAGCGGGCGGGGGCTGGCCACCCACCCTGGCTGTGGGCCCTGAGGCCAGATGTTTGGGCTTAATGGCCTGGCCAAGAGGGGATAGAGTGACTGGGTCATTAAACACTCTTCTTCAGGCTGGCAGAAGGTGGCAGGGGTGGAGGGACCTTGGGCCCGAGTGCCTGATGCCCCCCCACCTCTGGCTAGCAGAGAGGGGTGGGAGCCCAAACCCCACACCGGACCCTCTGTGACTTCTGGTGGGGACATCCAGAGCCAGGGCTCACCTGCTCCCACCTGGAAGTGGAAAAGAGCCTTTTTCTTCCAAGCTGGGGTGCCACCCCGTGACCCCTCCAATGACCCAGGCAGAAAGGAGAAAGGCAGGACTCCCCCTCCCCTGAAGCCCTCCCAGGGTACCAGTCAGCAGTTATTTAAGTCTCGGGGCTTAATGAGATCTGGGGAACACAGAATTCCCCGCGTGCTCCTTCGCCTGTTGGCGGGAGCGACCCATCCATTTATCAGGACCCCCAGACATTATTCCTCCCCCGCCCAAGCAAGTAACTGGACCCTGCTGGCCTTTGCAGAGCTGTGGGGGCGCCAACCTCTATTACCTTCCACGACCTCTGAGCTGCACTTCGGTCTGGGGAGAGGAGGAGGGGGAGGGAAAGGTTTCCTGCCTGCAGGGGCCAAAACTAGGGTTAGGGGGCTTCCAAGCCAGCCCCCAATGTATGCTCCAGCAGGCTGAGACACGGAGACAAGAAAGAGACCACCCAAGGTTGCTCATGGCAGCCCCAACCGGGAATCCCAGGCTGTGGTCAAGATGAAAATTCTCATTGTGCTGTTCTGGGTTTGAGTCCCAGGTCTGCTGTGTGGCCTTAGGCAAGAAGCCGGCCCTCTCTGAGCCTCAAAGTCCCTCCTGAAATAGGGATCAAAATCCCTCCTTTGAAAGGCTGTGGTGAGAACTGGATGTAATATATTGAGGGTCCACACAGTGTTGAGCACAGAGACATATGGTTGGGCATGGCCGTAAGCATACTTGTTAACTGAGTACATACTACATGCCGAGCTCTCTCCTTATCTACCCTAACTCATAATCCTCACAACATCCCCATTTTATAGCTGAGAAAACTGAGGTTGAGAGAGCAGAGGAAAATTGCCAGAATTCCACAGCTGGGACATGGCTAAGGCAGGACTTGAACCCAGGTCCGTCTGATACAGGCATTTAATACTGTCTTAAGAACAAGGGTTCTGGGTGCCATGCATGGCCCATCACACACTCCCCGAGTGACTTGGGGCACATGACCAAACCTCTCTGTGCCTCAGTGCCCAGATCTGTAAAATGGGGATAGGCACAAGGTCACTGTCACGTGACGAGTGCCTGACGTGAGCCAAACTCCAGCCTAAGTTTCTTGTGGGTATCAACGTATCACTGAATCACTGCAGCAACCCCGTGAGGCCTGTGGACTATTATTATCCCACTTTTATAGATGGGGACACTCAGACCGAGAGGTTAGGTAACGGGCTCATGTTTACATCCAGTGAGGACTCAAACTCAGGAACTCAGGCTCCCACACTCCCCTTCTTATCTGCTGAGCTGTGGTAACAGTAGCCTCCTCGGCAGATGCTCATTAAGACACAATGACATCATCCCCGCAGAGCCCTTAAAACAGAGCCTGACGCACAGGAAGTCCCAACAGATCTTAGTCACCGTGACCATGGCACTGCACTCATTCATTCCAAAGGTATTTAGTGAGTGGGTGCTCTGCATCAGCCTCTGTTCCAAGACTCAGACCCCCCACTCACATGAAGCCTCATCAACGTCACGGCCACCATCATGGTCACCACCACTGCGGTCACCTTTATCACCATCATCGCCATCATAGCGTGGCCATCATCACCGTCATCACCACCATTATTGTATCACCATCACCTTATCACCATGATCTTCCCTCAAGATCCTCACCGTCACTTCACTATCTTCTTCTTCACCACGACCACCATCATCACCATCGTTGCCTCAGCACCACGATCATTCTCTCATGATCATCACCATCACTTCACCACCTCCTTCACCATCAGCACCTTCATCACCACCACTACCATTGTCATAGTGGCATCACCTTATCACCATGACCCTTCCCTCATGACCATCACCATCATTTCACTATCGGCACCATCGCCACCATCACCACCATCGCTGCCTCATCACCACGACCATTCTCTCATGATCGCCACCACCATCAGCACGATCATATTACCATCAGCTTATCACCATGACCATTGCCTCACGATCATCACCATCACCATCACTTCACCATCGTCACCACCATCACCATCATCATGACCATCATTGCCTCTGCACCATGGCCATTCTCTCACTACCGTCACCACGATCATCACCACCACCACCACCACCACCATCACCGGCTTGATCATCGCCATCATGGTCACCATTACCGCCATCATCATCACCATCTCTATCATTATTATCACCACCATCAACACCACCACCACCATCAGCACCACCTTGCATGGCTCCTGTACTATTCACAAATCAAGATCAACCTTGTGAGTTTGTCTCTCAGGATCCCTCTAGTCCTCCAGAAACACCACTCACACCTTGTTTTTAATTAGATATTTTGGTATTCTTTTTTTGGTTGGGAGAGTCCTAAGCCCCCCAAATCCCAGAGTAGGTTACACATCTCCCCTCAGAGGCCTCTCTTCCTCCTCTGGGGTAGTGGTGGTTGGTGCAGGCATGCTGGGGGGCCAGGCCACCTCTGCCAGTCTCTTCACAGCCTCACCCAGCTGCCCCAGACCCTGGGCAGCCTCTACCAGGTGGGTCAGCCCCAGCTGCAGGACTTGGCGCTCCTGCCGGTCCTGTTCCAGGACTTGTGTCAGCCTCTGCAGCTGACCACCCACGTCCCTCACAGCTGCCACCAGCTCCACCAGGGCAGGCGGCTCGCAAGCCATGACCCTTACAGGTGGTTTTGGGGCCACACATGGGCCAAGGGGGCCTGGGCTCAGACCGGGGGTTGGCCCTAGGGTGGGGTGGTCAGGGGGAGGTTGATCCAAGGGGTGGGCCATGGGGGAGAGGTGGAGGTCAGGGGTCAAGGTGGGGTCAGAGTCTGAGTGTGGGGTCTGGGCCGGTGAAGGGGTTAGTCTGGAGCTCTGGCTTCTGGATGGTGTGAAATCCTCAGTGGACAATGGGCCCATGCTTGGGGTTGTGGAGGACTCGGAGGAACTGGACTCCAAGGCTGGAGAAGGTTCTAGGATCAGCATCTGGGACGTGGAGGCGCGAGGGGCAGGGGCTGTGAGGGTCAGTTGGGGATGCACGTTGGACGTGGCCGATGGGCCTGGAGTGGGATAGGAAAGTTCTGTCCCTGCAGAGGCTGGAAGAGACTTGGTAGTGATGGGAGGGGCTGTAGAGGGATCAGGAGTCAAGTCAGAGTGTGTGGCGGTGATGGGTTGAGGGCTTGTAGGGGATCGAGGGGTTGCAGAGTGGTCAGGAGTCATGGCGGGGTGAGTTGTGGTGATGGACTGAGAGGTTGCAGGAGGTGGAGGGGTTGTGGTGGGTTGAGAGATCATGGTGGGGTCAGGGGTCGTGGGGGGGTGAGTGGGGGTAGTGGGGTAAAGGGTTGTGGTGGGCTGAGGGGTCGTGGTGGGCTGAGGGCTCGTGGAGGGCTGAGGGGTTGTGGTGGGGTGAGGGGTTGTGGAGGGGTGAGGGGTCGTAGAGGGGTGAGTGGTGGTAGGGAAGTGAGGGGCCATGGTGGGATGATGGGTGACAGTGGAGAGAGGGCTTGTGGAGGAGTCTGGTGGCCCAGAAGATTCTGGGACTGTATTCGGGTACGGAGTTGTGCCCAAGTCTGCGGCTGTGTCCGATTCTGGGGTCAGCTCTGAGTTGGGGGAAAGGCTGGTCACTTCTGACAGTGCAGAGGGGTCAGACGTCAGCTCTTTGGGGGAGGTGGGTGGTGCAGTGGGCGAGAGCTCCGGGGTCAGCGCTGGAAGCACAATGGAGTCAGGAGTGGTCAAAGCAAGGCCAGGGGTTGTCAAGAAGACATAAGGGTCCAGCCGGGAGGCCGGGTCTAGGGTTGGGGGCGAAGTGTCAGGAGGTTCGGAGGTCGCCTCCGGCGTGGAAGCCGAGTCGGGGATGAGCTGTGGACCAGAGTCAGAGGTCCGCGGTGGGCCTGGCGTCCCTGACGAGGCAGAGGAACGCGGGCACGAGGTGGGAGGCGCTGCCCTGGCCGCAGTGGGCCGCGGCAGTCGGCGCTCGGGCCACAGTTTCCTCGGAGAACCTGCAGGAGGAAAAAAGACGGTCGATCTGAGGTCAGGCTACCCCGCCCACCCCGTGGCCCGCCCCGCCC